ATAAAAAAAAAAAAAAAAAATCACGGAAAAAAATATGACTTTTTAACATGATCTGAATTTTACCCTGCCATATATCAGTATGGCCTGAAAAAAAAAATCTTTTTCTATTGTGCAAATCTCAATTTGAGTCTTTCCGTCTTTCAGGAGCTCCGACCTCGTCCGCTCCCGTGTACTCTCGCTCCATGTCGGTGACGGACGAGCGTACCCTGAAGAAGATGGGAGCACCCGAGCCCTCGGGTGGCTCCACCGTTCCGCAGGGTCCCGTCCGGCTCAACTCCTCCTCCGAATGAGGACATCAAATGCAGTCGACATTTGGAGTGACTTGTGTTGATTCTTTCATGTACATAGAGGACAACGCAGCTATTTTTTTTTTCCCAAAACGAGGAATATTTCTGCTGACACATTCATGGAACAACAATGGCACTTCCTCGAGCCCAGACCGTGTGTGCGTAGGGTTGCGAAATTTGGGGAATTTGGGGAATTTTCAAAGTTGGACACCTCCCATGGGACTTCAATCCTTTGCAAAATTGAAGCTTGGCTTTAATTGCAAACTTAAGGTCGTATCCCACCGAGCGGCGAAGCTTTACAAGTGTTTGCCTACGTCGTGAATGTTGATTTTTCGTCAGGGTTCGTTCAAGGTCGCAAAGAAGGTCCACCAGACGTTCGCCAACACAAGGCTGAGGAAAAATCACTCTTCGCTAGACTCGCCAACATTCGTAAAGCTTTGCCGCTCAGTGGCAAAGAGCGAAAAAAAAAAACGGACTCATCAGAAAAAATATTGTTGCATCATCCTGACTCAAATATTTTCGAAGATGTGTTCGATTTGGTTAGTTCTTTCGTTTCATGATTTCCCATTAAACGAGCCCCCATTTATTCCCAGGCGGAATTTGCAGCATTAAAAATGCTAGCAAGAGTTGAGCACAGCCTCACATCACAACACCGCCGCCGCCGTCTCGAGTTTCTGACCAAAGCCGCATCCCTTCACTAGCATGTACAAGCCCCATTCGCAAACTAAAATAAGAATAATTTACAGACAACTCACATCCAGATTTGTAAAAATTGCAGCGCTAAGCTAGCAATTCACACCCAAAACGAGCTGACGTTAGCCACAGCCTTCGCATGATTTATTTGAGTGGAACGCAATTTATCAGAAACTTTCCAAAAATGGACATGAAATTTTCGAACCCTTTGTAACGCGATCACAAAGACTTAACAATCCTTTATTGGTTGTTGGGGTTTTTTTTTTTTCTGATATCCATAAGCTACTTCATGCAAACAGTATTCCCAGAGAAATGAAGTTCGACCCACATTGCAAGGTTCCTGCCTGAGCCCATCTCAAGTTCGGGACCTTCACCAGACAACAATCCTTCAACCAAACATTTTCCACATTCACGTTTGGAAGCATTCGCACAAAAATCTTAAGGATGGCGCGTCCAGAAACGGCCAATGGACATGCCTACCCAAATGTCACCGTGCTCAAGTGGAACTTGCCTCAAGAGGATTTCGAAAGGAGCACTTGGACTGTTAAAGGATCAAAAGTCAGTCTGGAAAAGCCCTGAAATGGTGATTTGATGTGTTTTCTCAATTTCCCTTGCCTGGTGCTCACACTGTAGCTGTAAAAAAAAAAAAAAGAAAAAGAAAATCCTGCGAGCCGAGCTCCAGGTGTTTAGCGAAGTGGATGTCGAGAGCGGCACGCCGTCAACGCTACGGATGTGCCTCCCTCGGCGCCTATGCTAAAAGGTCACAGCGGGCGTATTGACACGCGGCACCGAGGCGTCCTATCGGCACTTGATCTCTTAAAAACGGGTCGGGCCCAGGCTATGCGTCAATTATGAGTCAATGACGTTGCCTTTGACGAGATTCTTCGCTTCATTTGGAACCAAAGAAGACTCTGCCAGAAAGCTTTCTGTGAGGAAACAATTTGCATAACATTAGATGTAGCGTACGGTTTTCTAGGAATCAAACGGGAAATGTATCAGGAATCGATATGGTGTATTTTTCTTCTTTTTTTTTTTTTTCAATAAATATAAAAATTATTTCCAGTGATTCGCCACTTCTGTGAAATCTGCACAGACAGATGAAGGCAATGGACTCAAACGGCGCACATTCTCAAGCGCGTTTGATCGGTATTGATCCGCGCGGATGGCGCGGCGGCTCGGGCCGTCACGGCCAGCGCCGCTTTGATTTCACACCGCCAGTCCCGCCCGGAACGAGCCGGCAGCAGCCGGAGAAATGAGGCCGCCCCGCGTTTCATTGCGCGCGGCGAGAGGAGAGAATGAAAATGTTACAGCTGCATCGTGCACGCTTGCAAATTCTGCGCTGTGTGCGAGTGTGTTGTACTGTACGGCGGTCCGGCACCACTGAGGGGTGGGTTTGAGCCAACGGGAGTGGAGCACTTAGGGAGGCGGTCAAATCCTCCCATGATTATAATGCACCATCTCCTTTTAAGATGATCAAAGTCAGTTGCCGTCTTATTTGTGGATGTGTGTGTTTTGCTGGAGCAACCAAAATATTTTCGACCCACTCACTCGGATGACTCAGGCATTGTTCCCCACCCTCTATTCATACTTTACATTGGACAAATTTTCATGGCACCAAGTATCGAGGCCGAGATATGACCTCATTCGCTCCGTGACCAAAAATAAAAAGCGCAAGCTTATGGATACTTCCATGGTCAGGGCCGTGGAGAATCAAATTGATCCAATAACGAAACAAAATCATCAAACATCAGCTAAAATACATCACGCTCACCAGAGATGCTCATTGATGAGCATCTTATTGTGGTCCGACTGCTAGGGATGCGTTCTGCTACTCGGGGGGGGGCTTAAGTCATTCAGTACCAGCCAATTCTGGACCAAGTCTGAAAAGACGTTTAAAAACGTCTTTGGGAGTGAATGAGATCATTATTAAGAAGGTTGGCTTTGGCCACCAATCAGAGGACTTCAAAAAACTGGAGACGTCATCAAGGGCCAGTGCTCTGGTCCTGTCAGGCAAAACGTGAAATGTGATTGGCTAAAGAGACGGACGGTCCCATTTGAAAGTGGAACATCGGCCGTTTTTCTCAAAGTGGGAGAGCCACTGTTGACAACCTTTTGAAGGTCGAAAGAAAATTAACTTCTGTCGCGATATAAGCATGCAACCTACCAAAAGAAAGCTTTTAACCCTGGACTTTTCATTAGGGGAAAAAAAAAATCCATTTCTACCTTTTACCATTCTTTAGTAAACAAAACATTGGGAAGTTTCTTGGAAATACTAGTTTCCAAGAAAAAAAAAAAAAATCGGCGAAAAATAGCTTTTTGTGAAAGGATACATTTCAAGCAGAGTTTTCACTTTGATGTTCATTGCAGGAAAAAAAAACACTGCACTGATGCATGAACTTTGCCTGAACTTTTCATGAACGTTGAACTTTATCCATGTTCTCACCACCACACTGCTTTCGCACGCCACCTCACCACGTGGGATCAGGTATTGTATAACACACACACACACACACACACACACTCTGATCAAAACCACTCCTGCCATCTAGTGGTGATTTATCAGACTGCAATCATTCCCAAAGCCTTGATATTTCCTGAGCAGCTGCACAAATCCCTTTGTTCATTTTTATGAAATAAAAATCCCCCAAAAATGTAACATCCACAGAAATGCAATCCGGCCTGGAGAATTGTTACAACATGAAGAGAATTGATTATTGGCAAAGATTTCATGAAACAGATTTTGGTGATCGAGGTTGTAAAATGGAGGTCAGTGATCCAGACAGCGTTTGAACCCGAACGCCGCAGCTGAACGGTCCGCACCGAGCCACCGCGGCAGTGCACATTGCTGCAGTCGCAGCGGGAGGCCGAGACGCACGGGGAGGCGCTGGGGCGCAGGCGGGACGGTTGCGGGCTGCGGCAGGGAACGCAAAGTGCCGCCTCCGCCGCTTTTGCGTTCGCTCATCATCTTTGACTTCTTTGTGCGCCGCGGTCACATTTCTGCTCTCGCTGTTAGCGCGTCGTGGCTTCGAGATTTTTCTCCACCTCCCTGTCATCTCCTTCCATCTCGCTCGTGTTCCTTCACTGGCCTCCCTCCGGAGAACCGCGAAGGAAGATGTACCGTGTTCATTATATGGAAATGTTCCCCGCGGTACATTCTCATAGATCCTGACCCTGCAAGCTCTGAATCATGCCGCTATTCCCACTCTGCCCATCACAACCCACAAATAGTGTGCGGGAGGAGAGACGGGAGGCTCCCCGGAGTGGCGTGCGGTCACCTGCATTGCCATCCTCGCTGTTAACACTCATTTGGGGGCGAGGGTTGGGGTGGGGGACGGGGGGGGGGTGCTACTGCACACCTCCGTCAAGACTCGGTAGAAACAAACCAGAGAGAAACGAGTGAAGTATGCGAACTAATTGGATGGGAAAGACAACCTACGCCCAGCATCTACTCTAGTCATGATAATTAATCAATTCCATTAAAAAGAAAGAAAGAAGGAAATGTCGAGAAAAGCCTTCTGAATCCAAAAAATAGCTTAACCACGCGAAATGAATGTTCTACGAATAATTGATGACACTAAAAGAAGCAAAAATACAAGTTGCCCCGAGTGCATTCAAAACACCAATAAAAATGAAAAAAAAGACAATTCCCTTGCTCAAGACTCTGACAGTCGAACTGAACGACAACAAACTCACAACTTGTTGATCTCAATGACGACAAGCGATTTCTCTTTTGTCCCTTTTCATCAACGCAGCCCGTAATCCCCAAAACACAAAAGTCCCGACCCACCGGCGCTAATGGCGCCAACAATGAACCAGTACGCTGTCAAAAGCCATTCAAGAAAGCATTGTGAAAACATAACGGGGACCAGAGTAGCGGGTTTGACAGCGCCATTCAAAACGGAGCACTCGCCGCGTGTTATTAGATTGCGTTGCGGTAGAACAGCAAACAAGGTGCCCCCGCACATTACAGTGTCAGCAATCCACTTATGAGCCCACTCGACCACGCAAATGGCTGGAAATCCTCCTGCGTGGTCTCCAATTTGTAACGGCAGCCCGGGATTACTTTTCACGGGACTTTATCAGGCAGCCGGCAGAGTGGAAAAACTTATTGGCAATTAAGAAAGCGAATATAGATTAGCGCGGGACTATGTGCGCGCGAGGCCCCGATGGGATAGAGTCGGACGCCGCTGCTTTCGCACGATAATGGTTGTCAACGCGAATGGATGGGCTGCGAAGTTCTTCGTGTGTGTGTGTATGTTTGTGTGCGCACACGCGCGCGCCGTGCAGCACGACACTCCGAGAGTCGAGGCGGCTTTTGTGTTTGCGCTGATGTGTTTATTTCCTCAGCAGCTGATCCCACGGCCGCTGCGGCGGCTGGTAATTAATTGCGCGGCAGCTAAACGAAAAGAGCCAAGTGTTAAAAAGTCTTTGCCACTTGGCGCTGCCACCTCACACAAACGCACAACAAGGCCACCGACCCCCCCACCCACCCAACACACACTCAACAAGAGTGAGAATGAACAATGCAAAACGAGAGCCTTTTATAAACGTCTTAATTAGCCAAGCCCATAAAATTTCCCAATTTTAATTGCCGCATCAGCACTATTAATTACATAACAGTAGCCAGCGTGAGAGGAATCTATTTGATGAACATGTTTGTTTTGCAAATGCTTCCCAAACTTGGATTGCGTTTTCATTTTCATTTCATGTCAAGGGTGAACCGTTTCATTTGGCATTAGGCAAAGGGCTCACAAGTCAATGTTTATTGTGTCGATGGTCGTCCATGTTGCATTTTTTTTTTTTGTCTTACCTCAATGGAAAAAGGTTCAATAAAAGCGATAAATAAACAATCTGGCCTTAGTTAGTGGTTAATGCGGCAATTCTGTTTTTTTTAAAGCACTTTCATTTTTAATTTTATTTATTTAGGTTATTTTACTAGTTTTTGTTAACTTTCATAACCTGGGTTCCACCACACACACACACACACACACACACACACACACACACACACACACACACACACACACACACACACACACACCACCCCAAAAAAAAACCCACCACACAAGACGTCTTGGTGTTTCCAATTTGTTTTGAGGACAGTAATACTTCAACAAAAGGAATGAATGCTATTCTCCTGTGACTCAATGTGTGTGACCTGCTGCTCGGCTTTATTTTTGTACTTCTCAGAAAATGGTGTTTGTTTTCCGTAATTGTTGACTGTACATGTTGATTTGTCCTGGATTTGCTCTGTGGCTTTCTGGTCCCAAACATGTCACTGCAGATCAACTTTTTAACTCGTTAGCCGAAATTCTGCTGAATTCCCAGAAGCGTCCGGTGTGGAATGGAGTCGTGTCTCGCTAGCTTGCCGTCTTATTAGAGAGCCAGCGGAGGCCCGCTGAGACCAACGGGTCACTTTGACCCGGGCCGCAGCATCAAAGCGGCTCCCCAACACCAGCAAATGACAACAGGCACCAAGCAGCAATCAGTTGGTCCTTTACAAAAGGAAAAGGGGACTGAGTTTAATTCTCAAATCACCTTTCCCCATTGAAACGAATGGGATTGCTATTAATACGTTCCAGTTTTTTTTTTAATATGACAAAAACAGCACCCGTTGTAAAAAAATGACATGATTAAATAGAATTAAAAGAATTAAAGGCCAAAATTTTCTTTGCAATAATATGTCCCCCCCCAACCCCCCAACACCTGAGTCTAAACACTGTCTTTTGATGAATATTATGTTTGTGGAAAATGAATTAAGCAGATTCATCTGTCTGTTTTCAACCATTTCAAGGCACTGCCATTTTGTTCTCTGCTGTTGACTGAAACTAACATCAAAGTCCTCTCGGGCTCACGCTGCAAAGGTCACGCGGCTGAACCCGGAAAAACAGGTGAGCCATAACTCAATTTCATTTGACATACTGTATCTTTACGAATTCGTCAACAATCTACCAGGTCATTTAAATGCAACCAATTAAATCTTAACATATAATTATAATCATCATAATCATATATTTCAGACCTGAGGCATGTTTTTCCATTTCTAATTTGATTTTTTTTTT